TGTACAGAGACATTGTGTATGTATGTATATATAAAAATTTATATCTTTTTTTACTTGCATTAAGCATTTTTCATAATGAGAATCCCTCGCTGGGTAGGGGAAAAATGTAGAATGGAAATAGTAATTTTTATGTTCATAATAAAAGAAAATTTATGTTCTACGAGTAAAACTGGCTGAGTCCTTAAAGTTTCAGGAGTTGAAAAGCACCTGAGTGGAGCCTGAGTGTGTTTTCAGTGGGGTCTACAAGTGATAGGAAGTCTTGTCCTTCTCTCTGCATCTCCTTCTTTCTCCACAGCAACACTTAATAGCTGAGAAGGTTGAGAATTTTCCAACAAAACTTCGGTGCATTAGAAATATGTTCAGTAAGGACAGAGTGCCTTTTGAAATGCCATCAGTTTTGCAAAAGCTTTAGTAGCTTTTTCCAACCACAGGTGGAATATGTGGTTGAGAAGGACTGTTGAATCATAGATACTGCTTACTTGCTTTTACACCTTCTCTTACATGTGTATTTTTCTGTTGATTAGAAAACCAAGACAGATGAAGTATGCACTATCAGCCATGAATACAAAGGTGAAGCCTTAAGCGGCCATAAAACCTGGGTCTTGGGACAGTACAATTTCCAGTGAGTCATACCCTCTCCTTCAAAGATTGCACCTAAAGGGGCAAATGTGAATCACCAAGTACATCCCTTTTTGACAGCTGCAGCTACAAAGCAGTCTCTTGTGGTTGGGAGGGAAGGAGCCAATGTGCCTAGAAAAGACAGGTTGTGAGCAGCTGCTGTTGTGCGTATGTGAGAGCACTCAAAGACCGAAAGTGGGAAATTGGAAGAATGTGTTTTGGTTTTATAGCTGAAATTGGGCTACAGGTGAAATCCGCTACAGAAACAGCTGAAATTTTGAAAGCCTGCATTGTGACTGGTATTTAAACTGAGAATGAATGTTGCCTGCTCTTAGTTTTCCCCTGAGATTGAACCAAGCTTGTGATCAGGCAGATTAAGTCTGTGTGAAGTTTTGTAAACGTTTATAGAAATCCCTAGAGTCTGAGCTGTACATTACAGAAACAACTGATGATGAATACCAGCACCTTTCTGATTCAGGCTAAATTATTTTCATGGCCATATTCTTAATTAGCAGCATGTTGCTTGCTTGAGAATATCAGCAGGGAAAAAGCTAGTAACGCAAACATA